AAGGGGAGACACACCCTGTAAACTGCCTGCACCCCAGAAACGGCCCCGGGCTCCTGCTCCTCCGTGTCTCCACGTGGATGACTCTTTAAAGCCGGTCTCCTAGCCTGGCCTGGCTCTGTTGCATTTGTGGGGGTGTCTGCGATTTTGATTCCTGTTTTTGGAGGTGAACGAGGGTGTGATTTTAAATTAATTGCTTAACGAAGTGCTAACTTGAAAAGAGTTTTTAAAAAATCCATTTCTTGACAAGACTGAGGCTTTTCTTTTTTCCCCCAGCAGCTGCTCCGAGCTCAGGTTTGAGGCCCCTCTGCTCTTGCTCACAGAGGAAGCTCCACTGATTCCTGAGTGTGTCTGCCCTCTGTTTAATGCTTTCCTCGATGGGGCAGGTTTTGTTTATTTTTAAATTTATTTTTATTGAAATATAATTGATTCACAAGTTTTAGGTGTACAGCAAATTGATTCAGTTGTACATACACATATTCTTCATTTCTCTTCCATTACAGGTTATTACAGGGTATTAAATTTAGTTCCTTGTGCTATACAGTAGGTCCTTGTTTATTTTGTATACAGTAGTGTGTATCTGTTAATCCTAAACTTCTAATTTATCCCTCCCCTGCCCTTTCCCCTTTGGTAACGATGAATTTGTTTTCTATGTTTGTGAATCTGTTTCTGTTTTATAAGTAAGTTCATTTGTATCATTTTTTTAGATTCCACATATAAGTGATATCATATATCTGTCTTCCTCTGCTCTGTACATGTATTATGTATATGTGTATACACACACGCGCGCACACACACACACACATACGCACACACACCCATACACAACTTCTTTATCCAGTCATCTATTGATGGACATTTAGGTGGCTTCCATGTCTTGGCTACTGTAAATAGTGCTGCTGTGAACATTAGGGTGCATGTATCTTTTCGAATTGGAGTTTTCTCCCCATATATGCCCAGGAGTGGGATTGCTGGATCATTTCCATATAGTTCTCCACAATGCCTGCACCAATTTGCATTCCCAACAACAGTGTCGGAGGGTTCCCTTCTCTCCACACCCTCTCCAGCATTTGTTGTTCATGGACTTTTCAATGATAGCCATTCTGACTGGTGTGAGGTGATACCTCCTTGTAGTTTTAATTTGAATTTCTCTAATAATTAGGGACATTGAACATTCTTTTCTTTTGCCTATTGGCCTTCTGTGTGTCTTTGGAGAAATGTCTGTGTAAGTCTTCTGGCCATTTTTTGATTGGGTTGTTTGGTTTTTTTGTTTGTTTATTTTGATATTAAGCTGTATGAGCTGTTTGTCTATTTTGGAAATTAATCCCTTGTCAGTTGCTTCATTTGCAAATATTTTCCCCATTCAGTAGGTTGTCTTTTAGTCTTGTTTATGGTTTCCTTTTCTGTGGAAAAGCTTTTATGTTTAATTAGGTCGATGGGGCAGTTTTGAGGAGTGCCTCCGAAAAAGCCTAGGCCTGGAGCTTGGAGTCAGGCCCCACACTCTGCAGACACACAGGAGTCCTTGCCAAGGAGCGGCACTGGCTGGCGTTGAGAGAATTCACAGAGGCCATCTACTGCTCCCTTGATTGGTCCCCTTCCTCATGTAAATAATCCCTGCCTGTGAACAACTCCGGATTCAAACAAGATTCCTGTAGCAGTAAATACTTGGTTAACCTCTTGATTTGGAGGCAGTGCTTGGTAAGGTTAGCCCGCTCTTAAAATTGTCACCGGATGCGAGAGTGTAACCTGGGGCCATCTGGAAGGCTAGAGTTGACCTGTCTTGCCCAAAGCGGTGGACAACATTAATGTAGGTGCCCAGCTACTCAAGGTAATAGAACTTGCTGAACTGGGGAGAGAAAGGAACATTTTTATTGTGCTGGAGGGATAAAATATGGCCGGTAATATTTTTAAACTTTTCTGTGATTAATTTTATACTTGAGTATTTCTGCTTCCTTCTGGAGACAGTTTTCTGTAGGTGATAAGTGCCTTCCCTTGCTTTAAGTCCGCCCGGCCATGTGATTGCAGCCACGCTGGCCATTGAGGCCTCTTTTGCTACTTTGGGGGCGTGAAAGATTTCAGGTGCACAGCGTCACCCACTGTTTAAGAGGTGAGGACTGAGTTACACGGCCACCTACAGAGTCTGGTCCTTTTTTAAAGTCGGCCTGTAAGCATCACCAACTCTTGTGCAGAACCCAGCAGATTAAAGCTGGGTCTTGCTTTTGCAACCTTGGAGGCGACAGGGAAACTGTGTGTCTGTGTCAAAACCTGTCCTTTCATGGCTGGTTTAAAAATCTACAGTTTACGTGGGCAGTGATCTGAGTGTTGGAACAAATCTCTTTTATTTGCTGCGGGAAGCTGCCTGGGCCACTCATTAGCACATCCGAGGTCAGATGCACGCCGCGGCGGCCGCTGGGACACTAATGATTTCATACGGCTTTGTGTGACCGCTGGCCGCCTGTGGTGCTGTAAATCGGACTCGGGGTTCTAATTTTATCCAAACCTCCAGGGAGTTGGTCCGACTTGCCTCTTGTGAGATTGAACTTAAGATAATATTTATAGTGGAGGACACAGGAAAAATAATGCCTAATGGGAACATTGTGGGAAGAATGGTAGCAACCCATTAGAAGTAAATTACGCGGGGCCGTTGGAGGAACTCATTTATGGGCTCAGCGAGTATTTATTAGGTCTTTAGCGATGAGGAGCCTGGCCGGGGCTAGGCTGCCAGCTTCACCCCACCAACACCAGGTGGTAGGTGGGAGGGCTTCCCCTCAGTGATTATTTTTAAGGTGTAATTTACATAAACAAGTACACATTTTTACAGTTTTATACATCTGCGTCCCCACTCCTTCCACCAAAGTAATAGAACATATCCATCACTCCAGAATATTTCTCTTTCAGTTCCCCCCAGTCATACCTGTTCTCGCCTGAAATTTTTTCACTGTCTAAAATTGTTTATTTATTTACTTATTTATTATTGAAGTATACTCAGTTTACACTGTGTTAATTTCTGGTGTACAGCATAGTGATTCGGTTGTACATATGTATATATATTCCTTTCTATATCTTTTTCATTATAGGCTGTTATAAGGTACTGAATATAGTTCCCTGTGCTACACAGTAGTCATCTGCAACTTGTTTAATTTTTTTTTAACCTTAGTTTTGCCTTAATATAAATGGACGTATGCAGGATATGCTTTCTTGATTCTCAGATTTTTCCATCAAGCATCTGAGTGATTGCCCAAATCAGTAATTGATCTTCATCACTAAAAATAGTCTGTTGTGTGGATATACCTGTGTCTTTGTTGATAGGGAAGTTTTGCTTATATTTTTGAACTGAAAAAAAATTTTTGTTTCAAATTTAAGTAAACAAGTTAATTTGCTAAAAACTGCTTGGTAGGCAGTTATCCAAAACACAGTTCTGGCATGTTCCAAAGTGTCACTCTGTGTCAGGTAACTTGGGTCTGTTGGAGGGAACCTCCAGCAGAGATGAGTCACTTGCTGCTGTTAGACCCTCTGTCACTGTGGGCTGGTGTCAGAGCCTTCCAGACGGAAGTGACATCGGTCACCCCACGCTGTGGGCAGAACCTGCTGGCCTCGGGTCGTGGTGGCCATGAATGTGCTTCAAGCTGTGTGTGTTGGCAGAGATCACAGGACTCCAGCCTGAAAATCAGGAGACCATGAAGAGTCCAGAGCAGGAAGGAGCTGGTGCAGGTTGGGCCCCCTGGAGGCAGGGAGAGTTTGGATGGAGAACTGGTTTGTCAGCAGCCCGGGGGTGGGGGTGGGGGTGGGGTGTGAGGCAAGGGAGGAAGCAGGAGGGATGCAGGTGCCCGAGGAGGCTCAGTGATGCCAGCAGCTGCCAGGCGGGGCTGGTGGCAGGAGGATGCTCTGGGTACCAGAAGGGAGTGGACAGAGGGATAGCTGTGTCCCCCTCTGGCTTCTTGTCGAGTCCCCGTGTGTGTTGTCCCGCGCTGAGTGTTTTGTGACTTTCGATTAAACTTTTATAGGTTACGTGTTTCTTTGTGGGGTTTCACATGGCTGTGGGGAATGCTAACAGTAGCTCAGCGTGGGAAGCGCTGTCTCCTGCTAACCGTTTTCCTACCCGCGTCATCACCTCGATACCTGGGCTTATTTATATACAGCTCAGTTGGAGGATTTCTTCTGCCCTGAAAAACTAACTGCAGCCCCCACCCCACCCCATCCCTCTTAGAGCCAGGATCCCAGAAAAACACACACCTGGGTTATATGTCCTTTCTTTCCTCCTAAAGGCCCTTTGAACTCAGATGTACTGCTGCAACCGAAGTTTTAGAAGGGAGCTGTGGTAAGAAGTATTGGTACAGCTATTTTGCCTGTGACTCTGGCACAGCTGGTGGACAGAGCCGTGTGCTGTGCTGGCCAGGGTGTCACTGTTCCTGGGGTCTCGGTGCCAGAGGGGAAATGGTTTTCTTCCAGGGTGAACTCATTTTCGTACTTTCAAATCTGACAGTTCTGTGAGCACCCCTCCCTCCCCACGTTGAGTTACTTCTCCTTTTTACCAAATCCGCAGGTAAGGTCTGCCGAATTTAAAACTTCGGAACACATCTTACTCTTCTAATTATCTGTGCCTTTTTATAAAACTATCTGTGCCTTTTTATAAAACCCATGGTTCTGCTTTTTGCATGTGTTTATACTAAAAACTGCATGCTCAGAGAGGGTTCTTCCTGGGGGAATGGACGGTGTATTTGAGGGCCCTGAGTCATGGAATATAAAATACGAAATATAAATATTGCTGGTATATAAAGTGGGGACCTGGTGCGCCCGGCTCTGGGGTGTTGGGACCCCGTCCCACAAGCAGGGGGGCAGGTGATGGGGGAAGGGGAGCCTCAAGGAAGCCTCGTGGCTTGGGATGCCAGAGGAGCTGGGTCTCGCTAGGTGTAGCTGGTGGTTGGTCGGCGTAGGGAAAAGGAGCAGCAGTGGTCATTTGGGAGTGTGAAAATTTTCTTCCAAAAAATAGCAGAGGGGTCACGATGTGGCTTTGGAGTGGCGCAGAAATCACAGGTGAGCAACACTTGATCACGGAACTGTGCTTCTCTTTGGCACTGGCGACCACACTGGCTCTGAAGTTGTCGTTGGAGCCAGTGGCGTTCCTGCTTCCAACCCTTCCTTTTCGGATTGGCCTTGTCCATAGGAGCTGACAAATTGGGTCTAGAGCTGCTCCGACCCCACGTGGGCTCTCTGTGTGTACCCTCACCCCCTCCACCTCCAGGGTCTCAGCTCTTCCCATTGCTCGTTTTGCTGAAGATGAACCTGACTCGGCTCCCTGGCCCGACAGGTTCACGTCCAGTCTCTTAGCCCAGCTCTTGGGATCAGGTGTGCCTCGACACCCAAAATTTCTGATTTTGGGAACTGGATAGTATGAAACAGCACCACAAAATAATGAATATTAGCCCTCTGTTTCTTCAGTGAAATATATGAAAACTCACACTAGATGGTATAGATTAAAATTAGGAATCATTTCCATGCCAGTTCAGGTTTTTGCTGCCAACTGTGTAAAAAGTTCTGGTTTCCAGCTTCTGCTGGACTTGAGGGTCGCAGGAGGGCTTCTGGGCTTGTCTGCAGCTCCCCGTGTTTGTTTCACTGGATGTTTGAAAGACCCTCTGGGACTGTTTATCCTCAACACCCTTCAGCCTGTACGTTGCCTGAGACCCCTTGCACTGTCCCCCTGGAGTCGTCCCAGTAAGCAGCCTCACTTGTCCCCAGCCTTTTGTGTTTGGGAGAATCTCCTAGCGGCCACTTCTGAGGACACAAAGCACAAGCCTTGCTTTCTTGCTGCTCCTCTGCTCTGGGCTTCTTTTCAGTCTCAGCCTCCATCTTCCCCCCTTCCCAGCCCAGCAGAGTGGACCTCAGCTCCCCAGTCCCCCGTTGTCTCCCTGGTGTCCCTGAGCTGGCCTCACTGTGTATGTTCGGTCTTGTTGGGAACAGAAACTGGCACTTGACAACCTTGGTTCCTCACGGAGATGTTGGTTGACCTGACTTCAAGTTATTAAATTAAAAAAGCCTTCCTGTCCACACTTGTGAGTAGATTTTTTTTTCCTTCTCATAGGGCAAATGGTATAGCAGTTGAATATATTAGCATATTGAAATTTCTGGGCTTTATAAAGACCCATATAAAGAATATTCACTGCAGGGGGGAAGGTATAGCTCAGTGGTAGAGCGCATGCTTAGCATGCACGAGGTCCTGGGATCAATCCCCAGTACCTCCTCTAATAAATAAATAAACCTAATTACTCCCCCCACCCCAAATATTCACTGCAGCATTGCTTGTGGTTTTTCAAAAACTGGGAAACAGGGTAAAATCCTATCAGCAGGTACTAATTAAATGAGTTGTACATTGACAGACATACCACACAACCATTCATAAAACACCCAGTGGACCCAGCACATTCTCCAAGTTAATATAGTTAAGTGAAAAAAGTCTAGCATAGCACTCTCCTATTTGCATCTTTAACGAACAATTCATGTTTGCATAGAATAGAGCATCATTTTGAATGATCAGGTTAAAAAAAGTTAGAAACAACTGAATGAGAAATTGGGGGAGATTTGAAAAAAACTGTTTGCATCTGTGTGGGTTTTTTTGCATTGAAAATGCATATGTGTTCCTTGTCTAAGTTTTTAAAAAGATTTCCAGACCCCTTTACTCTCCCCAAAGAGGTCATTTGTCCTCAGCGGGGCTCTGCTGTCCTGAGCTGGTACTGATGGTGTAAGGAGGGGCCAGATTCCTTTCTTTGCTCTCTTCCCAGGCGCCCGAGGCCACAGCACGTGGCCCAGGATGCAGAAAGGCTTCTTCTGCGGGTTTAAGAGCTCCCGACATTCAGTGTGCTTTCCCTAAATCAAGTAAAGCTTGTTTTTTGATTTTTTGGTTTTATTTTTAATTTTTTTGGGGGGGAGGTAGGTAATTAGGTTTATTTATTAACTTTTTTCCTTTTTCTAGTTTTATTATGTGTAATTATAGTTCAGCTGCACATACACATTATGTTGCATGTAAATACGTATATACAGTATACTGCACATTTTTTTTAGTTTACATATATGTACTAATTATTGTTTCTAAGAACAGATTAGATCTTTAGCTTTTTAAACTTAGGTAGTAATGGAGGCTCTGGGGGTTGAGCCCAGGACCTCGTGCATGCTAAGCACGGGCTCTATCACTGAGCTGTACCCTCCTCCCCGCCTCTAAAGCTTGGTTTGATGTTGTTGACTAGAGTTAGTTTCATGGCTGGGCTTCACTCCTTGTGCCATTTGTAAGTAGGAGAGCCTGCTGAGTGGCAGGGACAGATAAGGCTTCTGCTTGTCACCAGCCCTCCTCCGCTTCAGTCTGTGGTGGAGACACACAGAAACCCTCCCAGGCAGGTGGACGCCCCTTCTGTCAAGGCCTGAGTCTGTGGGAGGCTAGGCGTCCCCCGTCAAAGACATCGCCAAAAATACGTTTATCAGCGACTCATGTTTATTATTTCAGCGGGGGCATCTTGACGGTGAGCGGCCGCCTCCACCCTTTCTCTGCTCACCTCACTGGTGCGGGTAGTTGTGTTTTAACCTGGTGCTCCAGCAGGACTTGGGGGCGGGTGGGGTGTTTCTCGTTGGATCACATGTGGTATAAAGAAGTAGATTCTGGGAATGCGCGTGCGCACGCAGACACACGCGCGCCGTTTTTCATTAACAAAGCAATTCACACGCTGGCTAAGGTAAACCTGCCTGCTTGGTATTTTTATTTATGTATTTATTTACTTATTTCTGAAACCTCCCCCCTTCCTCTCCTGCTGGGCCCACATTCCTGGGTCTTTGTCTCCGCCTGGTATTTTAGAAATTTTGGGAGAGGAAGGCGGTGGGTGGGGCATTCTGGAAGCTGGGGGCAGGGAAGAGGGTGGTCACTTGCAAGGTCAGGGGTCGAGCCTGCTCCATTCAGCTGGGGCAGCCAGATTGTCGCCATGTGGGGGGGGAGGGGGCGTGTCCGAGCATCTGCCCGGGAAGCCCCAGACCGGCTGCTCCAGGCCCTGGAATTCCTGCCACCGGAGGACTGCCCCTGCCCCTGCCCCTGCCCCTGCTCCTGCCCCCGCCCCCTTCCCGGAGCTGCATTGCATGGCCTCTGCCTCATTCCTGGCTGTGGACCCTCTGAGCAGCCCTCCAGTTTATTCTTATAAAATTACCTTAAATAAGCTGCTTCAGAGAGAGTTGCACCCATATGCATCCTTGCCTGTTCATTGAGTTTCACAAGCCCTAAAATTGTAGGTTTTTGACTTTAGAAATTGAGATGTGGAGCTTCTAAATGGAGTGCAGCATCTTCCCAAAGCTTTACTCCAACATTTCACTAGCAAGTTCACAAAATGTGATGGCATTTTCAGGTTTAGACGATGTGTTCTTTAAAAAAAAATCAGTGGTCTGTTAATGAAAAGCACCACAGGGGCTCTGCTTTAACCCACCCAGAGTCTTGTATTATCCACTAGCTGGGTGCCCCCTACGCCCAGCCCCAGCCCCATCTCCGTGGTCCAGTTAGCCTGGAACTGCAGAAACGGGAGCACTTTAGAAAGTCACAGTGTGTTCTAGGCACTTAGAGCAGCATCAGTCCCGTGTGAGATGATGTCGGGCAGGATAACATCCCAGGACCCAGTTGCCCATTTGAGAGGATCTGGGCTCTCCAGGCTGGGCCTGGTGGGGCTGGGAACACGGGCTTCGGGCATCCTGCCGCCACCCATCATGACCAGGATTTCTTCCCCAGCCCTTTCATCTGCAGAATCCTTTAAAACCTACCATTTGTAGGATAGCTCCCATGCACAGCGTCATCCAGGCTCTGAATTTTGCAAACCCAAAGCCCAGAAAAATCGCCCCAATTCCTTGTAGTTGCACAACTGGCACCTGGAACTTGGCTTCTGGCTCAGCCCAGAATTAATAACTCAAAGCCGTAGCTTTCCAGTGTCCTCAAAGATAGGGTTCCTGGGATTTCCGGAGCGGAAGGGGTTTCCTGAGGTACCTTGTCAGACCCCCGTGTGTTCCACATGTGGGACTGAAGCCCAGACAGGTGACCGGATAGTGTATCCTGGCCAGGTAGTGCCTGGCTGGGGCTTGAGGTTCTTTCCTGCTCACGCCCTGCGCAGATGAGCCTTTACATATCCGTGAGCCCACAGACTGAGGATGCTAAACCCAGCACACAGCTGTCCCGAGAAAAGGTAAATCCTGAGAAGAGATAAAAAGGAGATGGCTTAGCTGTTTGTCAAGAGCAGGGAACATAGTGGTGGAAGATTTTCACACTTCACATGAGCCTAGTGATCCCTTTATTCCCGTGACAAATGGGGAGAGCAGAGGGGAGGAATGCGGTTGAGTTGTTGAAGGTGATGAGAAAATTGCTTTAGCACCATGTTGCGAAAAGTGTCCAGCAGTGTCCCCAGGTTCACCCACTTGAGCATTTTTCAATTAGTATCAAAGGCTAGCTTGAGAATTTTAGATTTATCACATCATAAAGATTAGATGGTGGACCTTCTTCAAAAAGTGATTGGTCTTCAAGAAGGCAGTGTCTCCCATGGTTGCTGGAAACATACTTCATGGGACAAAATCAGCAGTAAAGGTTACAAACCTGATCACATTTCCTGCTATAAAATACAGTCCATAAAACTTGCCATATCACAACCATTTTTTGGTATGGCGCAATTACGTTCCTTCATTCATTCATTAAAAAATATTTATTGTATTTTTAATTTTGGGGGGAGAGGGGAGGAGGTACTGGGATGGAACCCAGGACCTTGTGCATGCTAAGCGTGCGTTCTGCCACTGAGCTGTACCCTCCCTCCCCACCAGCCGTTTCTTAAAAGTAGAAATGTGACAGCCTAATCTTTCCTTTTTCCTATTTCTGGATCCCAGAGTTCCCCAAGAAGCAGCCTAAACCTTGCTGGGTCACACCTCCTACGTGGAGCCAGGCCTGCTTGCCTGACAGCCATTTGGGAGATCACTTCCTGTGGACACGCTCCACGCCACGACATTGGTTGGAATAAGATAACCTCTGGATAATGAGTGAAGCAGCCTTCTCACTCCATGGGCTTTCAGTCATGGGAAGTTTCTGGACCTCAGGGCCGCCTCCAGCCCTTGCTCCCTGCCGCAGCATTCGGCTCCCAGAAGTGCCCTGAGTCTCACGTCCGCCAGGTGCTGTGTGCTCTGGATGAGGTCTCCAGGGCCCCTGTGCTGGACCAAGCTCGTCGGAGTGCCCCGCCGTTGCTCCCCGTGTGGCCTTGCACACCTCTTCGAGGGACTGAGCGCTCGTGTCTTTGAAAGACCCCCCTCCTTCCCTTTTCTTGGACAAGACTTCCCTGCCTGTTGCAAGTTGGCTGGCTGTCCCTCACCCCCAGGTGTACCAGAGACAGGTTGAAGCTCTGGTCTTGAAAGCAGTCCAGCGGACATTTCCGCAGAGCCTGCCCTGTGGAGGGATATGCCGGGGCCGCCCGGTTTCTGGGCCAAGGAACAGTGGCTCTTGAGAGCTCCTGACTTACCAGCAGCTGGAGGTGGTGGCAGGCCCTCTCTCCCCTGCCCAGCGTTCTGGGCCCCAGGGAAACACAGAGCATCACACAAAGCAGTCCTGTGGGCTCAGACTGCCTCCCAGGGTCGGCTCCTTGGAACGACTTGGCAGGAAGAGGAAAGGCAAGAGGCTGGCTGGCTTTCTTTCTGCCTCCGTTCCAGTAGCTTAGGCCCGCACCCGGCTGAGTGCCTTGGCTGCCATCATCTAGATCCTTGATGGGGAGGGAGGGGCAGCAGGCTGTGCTGTGAGGGCCGTGAATCCTCGCCCCTAACCTGGCTTCACACACCAGAGGCTGGGGTGGCGAGGGAAGCTTTGCCGCCGCCAACCTGATACCGGGGAAACAGAATCTTGAAACTTTGGGGGGTAATTAATCTGAGATACAGGGAAATCTCTTATGCCAGGAGATTGTTTTGTTTCGTCTTTGCCTTTGAAGTGTCTCCATTATGGTTCTGAATGGTACTGGAGTAGAATGAGGGAGTTGGTTGTTTTTTCTTATTGTTGTGCTCGCTGTTGACTGCAGGGCTGGTGCTCCCTGTGGGGTGTGCTTGTTTATGGCGGGGTTCCGGGAGCCAGAGTACTCAGTCATCCTCCCTCCCCATCCTGCATCTCACTAACCCTGCTGCCTCTCTGGTCCCCAGGTGCTGCACCTTTACTGTGACACGTGCTCGGTGCCCATCTGCCGGGAGTGCACGGTGGGCCGGCACGGCGGCCACAGCTTTGTCTACCTCCAGGAGGCGCTGCAGGACTCACGGGCACTCACCATCCAGCTGCTGGCTGACGCCCAGCAGGGCCGCCAGGCCATCCAGGTCAGTCCCTCCCCACCCTTCACCTCCTCCCCTTCTTCTTTCTGGCGCTCCCTTCCAGACATATGTAGACTCCAGTGTCTGGAGCCAAGGGACAGTGACCCACAGGTGTGCACGGAGACCTCCCCACAGTCTTGTGAAGATGAGAGTGTTGTAGCCAGAGCTGCTGGCCACTCAGGGCTTGTTCCAGACACCTAGGCTGGACCCCCCTCACGTCAGCTGCCTGCTTTCCATCCGGTCCCCTCCCCAGATCCAAGTGGACATTAGCATGCTTCAGTCAGGACTACAGAAAGACGGGGCACTTCATGCTTCTCAGACAGAGATCTTGCTGCTCAGATTTATTTATTTATGGGTAAGAAATAGTGAGCCTGGGAAATTTTATATAAGTGTCAGCGTCTCAGACACTTTCCTGGGGTGTAAATAAGGTCACGTCCTGGTAATTTGGACCCTTGTTTCTGTTGACTCCCATCCCTTTGGGGTTAGGAGGGGACACGTGTAACTTTGGGACACAGTGAAGTTCTCTTACAGAGGCAGGTAATAGTGTGGCTGAATTGATTTTGAGACTTCTCTGATCCAGGTGACAAGGTTTTAGGAAAACAAAAAATCATAGGTTGTTATCCTCGTCTTGTAGGATAAGCTTGAAAGTCAAGAAACATTGCTAATCCTCGAGCAGAAAGTGAGTAAGAAACTGCCTAGTATGAGCATTTGAATATGTGAATTATTTAAAAAATAAGACCTTTTTGGGAAATGCTACAGAATTGATCATGTGCTGTAAAGGACGGGGCAGAGAGATGGTTTAGGATTTTCATAAGTTTCTGTCACATTCCTGTGCATGATATTGAAGTAATCTTTCTGATGAGTCAGATTATCTGATAGTCATGTCATAAAATAGGAAGTTTGAGGGTCTGTATTTCTGGGATGACTTAGTCTGTCATTCTTAGGCCGCAGTGCTGGCCTTTCTGTTCTCTTTCTGTGACTCTGTCCCTGTGGATGAAATAAGTGGTTTGTGGCTTTGTTTCTATGCCACTGCAGTTAGGACCTTGTCGGACGCCTTCCTTTCTGGTATTGGCGTCACCTGGGAGGGAAAAGATCTGCTGGTGTTTAGGTCCCACCCCCTAGATGGTGGTATAATCTTACTGACCTCTTCCTGTCCTTGGAGACAGAACACTGGAGGGGGTCTTGAAACATGATTGAGAGAATTCCTGGTACTCCCTGTGCTTTGTGGGATCAGCCACTCTGGGGTGAAGAGTGAGTTGTTAGTGATTTGCCAAAGGCTGAAGGGGAGATCTGTGGTTAAAGTCAGGAAATCGCGGGGAAGTGGAAATTTGGGCTTCTCGTGGAGAGAAGTAGAGGGTTGGAAGATTTTGTCTGCCACGCTCCACTTTCTGAAACCAGCTGAGCGTCTGCCGCGGGGGTAGTGAAGGGACCCTAGGAGTGAAATTCAAGTGTTAGTTGCTACTACCGTGCCTGCTGCTGCTGGAAATACTGGATCCCGGGGGGTTTTGTGTAGAGGAGCCAGGTGACAGGTGGGTTCTTGGGGGAGAGGGAGGTGGGAGGCTTGGTATGTTAATAATCTCTACGCCTACACCCAGGTACATCAACTGCATAGGTTGTGAATTATCTTCCTAGAAAGTTCTTGTGACCGTGCTGTGTGTGTGTGTGTGTGTGTGTGTGTGTGTGTGTGTGT